AAACGGTGTCACATATCGAAAAGCGGTTTTCAAGGGAAGTTACTACGTCTTATGGGCTACCCGATGTTGTGTTTTGATTTGGAATTCGGTCAATCTATCTACTCGAAAACTGCTGTGCAAGTGTATTTTCGACATAGCCCACAAATGACCTTAGGTCATCGCATGACCTTGAAAGGTCAAATGAGTGTTGGGAAAGTAAGATTAGATGCTGGCGAGTCGATTGGTGCCATTTTTAGCGCTCTAGCTCTACTGGTTGGGCCACAATCTGCTGTGCAAATTTGGGCCACGTGACCTTTGCTGACCTCTGTAGGTCAAACGGCTGGGAGTGCCACCGAATGACTTCGACTGTGGATTGGGCATGTCATGGCCTACATTGTGTGCGAGTTTCAGCTTGATCGGAGGTGTCCCGAATCTGGGCTGAATCCGTGCTGCGTCGTATTGAGTGTCGTTTATTTGCACATTTTGACCTGCCGAGGTCAAACGGGGTCACATATCGAAAAGCGGTTTTTAAGGAAAGTTACTACGGCCTATGGGCTACCCGATGATCTGCTTTGATTTGGAATTCGGTCAATCCATCTACTCGAAAACTGCTGTGCAAGTGTATTTTCGACCTAGCCCACAAATGACCTTAGGTCATCGCATGACCTTGAGAGGTCAAATGAGTATTAGGAAAGTAAGATTAGATGCTGGCGAGTCGATTGGTGCCATTTTTAGCGCTCTAGCTCTACTGGGTGGGCCACAATCTGCTGTGCAAATTTAGGCCACGTGGCCTTTGTTGACCTCTGTAGGTCAAACGGCTGGGAGTGCCACCGAATGACTTGGACTGTGGATTGGGCATGTCATGGCCTACACGGTGTGCGAGTTTCAGCTTGATCAGAGGAGTCCCGAATCTGGGCTGAATCAGGGCTGCGACGTATTGAGTGTCGTTTATTTGCACATTTTGACCTGCCGAGGTCAAACGGGGTCACATATCGAAAAGCAGTTTTTAGGGAAAGTTACTACGGCCTATGGGCTACCCGATGATGTGCTTAGATTTGGAATTCGGTCAATCCATCTACTCGAAAACTGCTGTGCAAGCGTATTTGCGACATAGCACACAAATGGTCACATATTAGGTCATCGCATGACCTTGAGAGATCAAATTAGTGTTGGGAAAGTAAGATTAGATGCTGGCGAGTCGATTGGTGCCATTTTTAGCGCTCTAGCTCTACTGGGTGGGCCACATTCTGCTGTGCAAATTTGGGCAACGTGACCTTTGCTGACCTCTGTAGGTCAAACGGCTGGGAGTGCCACCGAATGACTTGGACTGTGGATTGGGCATGTCATGGCCTACATTGTGTGCGATTTTCAGTTTGATCGGAGCTGTCCCGAATCTGGGCTGAATCCGGGCTGCGACGCATTGAGTGTCGTTTAATTGCACATTTTGGCCTGCCGAGGTCAAACGGGGTCACATATCGAGAAGCGGTTTTTAAGGAAAGTTACTACGGCCTATGGGCTACCCGATGATGTGCTTTGATTTGGAATTCGGTCAATCCATCTATTCGAAAACTGCTGTGCAAGTGTATTTTCGACATAGCCCACAAATGACCTTAGGTCATCGCATGACCTTGAGAGGTCAAATGAGTGTTGGGAAAGTAAGATTAGATGCTGGCGAGTCGATTGGTGCCATTTTTAGCGCTCTAGCTCTACTGGGTGGGCCACAATCTGCTGTGCAAATTTGGGCCACGTGACCTTTGTTGACCTCTGTAGGTCAAACGGCTGGGAGTGCCACCGAATGACTTGGACTGTGGATTGGGAATGTCATGGCCTACATTGTGTGCGAGTTTCAGCTTGATCGGAGGTGTCCCGAATCTGGGCTGAATCCGTGCTGCGTCGTATTGAGTGTCGTTTATTTGCACATTTTGACCTGCCGAGGTCAACCGGGGTCACATATCGAGAAGCAGTTTTTAAGGAAAGTTACTACGGCCTATGGGCTACCCGATGATGTGCTTTGATTTGGAATTCGGTCAATCCATCTACTCGAAAACTGCTGTGCAATTGTATTTTCGACATAGCCCACAAATGACCTTAGGTAATCGCATGACCTTGAGAGGTCAAATGAGTGTTGGGAAAGTAAGATTAGATGCTGGCGAGTCGATTGGTGCCATTTTTAGCGCTCTAGCTCTACTGGGTGGGCCACAATCTGCTGTGCAAATTTTGGCCACGTGACCTTTGTTGACCTCTGTAGGTCAAACGGCTGGGAGTGCCACCGAATGACTTGGACTGTGGATTGGGCATGTCATGGCCTACATTGTGTGCGAGTTTCAGCTTGATCGGAGGTGTCCCGAATCTGGGCTGAATCCGGGCTGAATCTGGGCTGAATATGGGCTGTCTTGACGGACATGCTGACCCGACCGGTCCGGCGGCGGCCGACCCGCTCCCCGCCGTATAGTGTTTCGTAAGTTGCCGGCCCCTCGGTCACGTCCTCACAAAGGTGGCTGACCGGGGCAGGGGTGCCTCTCGTCCACTGGACGAAAGGTGAGCGGAGCGGGCAATCCTTGCGTCACACACCAGAGAGACAATACAGGGAGTGAGAGGGATATAACCCAATCCTCATGGACAACCGGGCCAGGTTACTAATGATGTGCTATAGACCGGTTATGTGGTCATTAGTTATAACTTATATTGCTCTGCTAGCTTCCATGGAGCAATTACAGGTGCAAATGAGCAGACTGACAGAGCCAGTAACTAGCCAGACTTCTCAATTATCGGCCCATATTGTTTTACTTTTTTGCTACAGGTCGCCTTTCTTTGAAGAAATCAGCCAGCTTTGTTCCCAGCTCGATTGAGCACGGCGGCAAACGGAAAGCTCAGACGAGATAGAAAACAACACCTGTAACAGCGTTAAGTCCTCTTTTCAATGGCCATTTGTTGTAAATATAATGGAGTAACAATGAAGCAGATTGTTGCTGTCCATATCTTACGTCCAATGCCTCCCCTTCCCACTATGACCCATTCTCTCTTCACCCCACCGTCCCCACATCTCTCTTCCGGGTCCTTCCGCTCTGCACAGCCGCGCCGCGCCGGCCGCGTGTCACATTCGCCGTGATGTGCAGAGCGGCGTGCACAAATTGGCGGCGTGCACGGCAGACCGTGATGTATCGCGCACAGAGCCATCCGCACTGCTGTGCCACTCTGCGCTACTCCGCCGAAGAAAGTGGTTTGACGGCTCGACAGTTGGCAGGCCGTGACAGCTGGGCCGAGCAGACAACCATGACATCCTGTGGCAGATTGGGTGACAGACGGGCTCGGGCGGCCCGTGGGAATCTGGATCAGCTTGGTTATACAGCAGCCATCCTAAGGTAGAGATGCCGGGCGACGACAGAAAGAATGGTCGATGATACAAAAGGTTTCCAGGTGGCTTTAGGGCGATCGGAGATAAGGGAGTTTATAGGCGGGGGGGGGGGGGTCGGATTTCGGGTTCACTTCACGCCCGGAATACAGCCACTCGCAGACTCAATATAGCCTCTCTTGAGCTACCTCCAGCATTTGACCTCACCAGCCCCGATCGAAGCTTGTCTACTTATATCGAACTACCGGGTGACCCTGCATCCTCACGGGCCACTTTTTACATCCCTTCCCCGCTAAGGTGATCGGGAACTAAACACCTCCACTTGCATTGCAACCGGGCGACCGCGGTCCGCCTAGTAGCTATAGGCTGCCGTCTCGGCCGTCCAGGGGGGGGGGAGGAGGCACCGGTCGAAGTGGTCATCAACTGGTCACCCTTGACATGTGACTGGTACGACACACTGACAGATAAGGCTAGTACCCGGACGGCACACATGACCAACCGACCGGCGTCGCTGCAGCCGCCTTCCGTGAACTGATCGCGGCACTGGGAAGCCCCAACAGACCGGGTAGAAGTGGCGATGTTTTCACAAGGACGCGTGGGTACAACTTTCTATTTTTATAATAAAAAAGCATGTGTGTCACAAGCATATTGATAGGAGGTAGGTACTGACGTTTTGGTTATCGAAATATTAAAATATTTGCAATGGCGTGAGCTGAATGCATACCTACATTTGAAACATCGGAAAGTGCAATATTTAGGCTTCACGAAACTGTTGAACAGATTGGCAGCAAACAGAGAACTTCGGCAAAAGATATTGTCTCATTGTCACGTCTTTTGACAGAATCAAGCGTTGAGCATGCCTAGAACTGAAGAAGAATATCACAGCTCTGTCAGATGTCAGAAGAAAGAAAAAAACGGGAATATTGGTCTTGGTCGAATTTCCTGAGAGTACATTGCGCAGCTGACTGGGCGAGGTGTTTCACCATAAACGCCATTACGTAACAACCATTCGTAGATTCTGAGACGGTGAAAAACAATATGAGCTTTTTGAATATTACCTAGCCTCCGCGCTCGTGTGCACACCAAGCCAGATCCAGGGCGGATCGAGGAAGACGGGACGGGTCACGCCGATGCCGAAGCCTGAAATAGGATATTGGCAAATAGTGACTGACATTTGAAGAGACTTTTTAACTTCTAGAAATTAAGTGCTGCATTTTATGTTGCAATGAGGTCTAATTTCCGGACGACCCAAATCCAACCCAAATCCAGAGGCAGCACAGCAACGCGTGCTTTCCAACCAATTGGTTCGTTGCGGCTTTTACCGCTAGGTGACAGGAATAGGCGTTATAGGTGACGCCACTAGTCATGCACCCACTAGCACTGCAAGCTCCACATCGTAACGTCCATCACCATGATTCCCGTAACCGGTTGGACCATCCCGGCAATAAAACCCAGCTAACATACTCCCAGGACCTAGCTCGGCACGTTTCTAAGTACTCTCTGAGCGGCGAAACATCAGGGAGTCATCAGCTGTCGTGGTGAGGCAGCGAGAGATACGGCACTACCTTCCAGCACTGGGGTCGGACCTCTTGCGAATACGGTAACTGACTAACTGGGTGGCAGTGGGACGACGTTCCGTGGAACCTGCACGTCTGCAGGGAGCCCTTACCTGGGGTATGAACGGCTGGTGCTCGAACACGTCCGGCATTTCAGAAGAGTAGTTCACAAAATTACAACAGGGTTGCCACTCTACAGCGGTTTACTGGTCAGGAAACCGACTGGTTACCGGCTGCTTCCCGCGGGTTACCGGTGGCGAATTACCGGCAGGTCATTTGTGACTGGTACCTGCACCAGCGGTGTCACTGCATCAGTCACTTTTAAAGCACTCTGCAGTCTGCACTATGAACAATTGAACACACCAGCCGACCGACTGGCCGGCCGCGCCGGCTAAGCCCCACCGCTCACTGCCAAACTGCCCTCGCGGCGCGACACGAGCGTTTCCCAACCGACCACCGACTGACCCCGAGGGCCTGCGTGGGTCACTCGCTACTAAATGACCTTTGACCCGCAGAGGACCACGCCACGCGCACCGCACGACTCTGACCACCCCGCACTGTGGGGAGCCTGCGAAACGGCACGACAGCGCGCATGCTGTCAACTGTCGGTATTAGGTCAGAGAGCTGTCAGAAGCTGAACTGACGCGAGGATGTGACGTCAGTGACATGTCGACCACGTCAGCATGACAGTGTCATAGAGCGGTGGAGGCTGTCAGAAGCTGTGAGCCGGGTCGGCAAAACTGTCAACATGACAGCGGCAGGAGCAGTAGGTAAACGGGAACTGTCACATGCGCGAGCGACAACTCACAATGCAAGGGTGTTTGATGGTCTCTGACTCACTTCGGACAGTTGGTTGACTTTGAAAATCCTCGCTTTATCCTCGACCGAAATAAGCACTGTACCTGACAAATCATAAGGATGATTCATTCGTGCTTGGGAGTTAAGTAAACCGTTATAATATGAATGTCATGTCAGTTGTCAATTTGCCACGTCACATGCTTATTGTTTACTGTGTGATATAGAAAAAGTACACGAGGCGGAAAATGTGAGGTGCCACGACGATTAACCGGTTATGTCTGATCATGGTCTGATGTCTCAGTGCAGTGTTCAGCTCAACTGACAAAGCAGATAGCGAAAGAGCCAGCAGATGGAGTTGCGGAAACAGACGAAAATAGCGGCAGAGAGACGAGGACGAATCGTGGAGAGTCGAGACGGACGGTGGATGCCGAACGGCGATTGTATAGAAATTAGAATACAATGAAATTATTAGTAACTTGAATAGTGGCCCGTTGTCGATCGCCCACGGTCCATCCAGCGTCCATCCCCGACCTACAGGCCTAGCACATGGGCCGTGGCTTTGTTATATAGTCAACTTAACCCTCGCATGTGTAGGAGGGGGGGGTCGGATGGACCCCCCCATGGTTTTTTGCGAATAACTCGCGTAAAAAGCGGCCGATCGCACCGAAACTTTCAGTACCCTCACATTGATCAATTTTACACCTACCCTGAAAATTTCATGACCCTGACCCAAATGACCTTTGACCTGTGACCTCTTTTCCGAGACCATGTTTGGCCGGAATCGCGATTCGGCGTATGTCGGCTCGCATTAGCCGCGCGTTTGCAAGCTTTTCGTGGTTTCAAACGTTCAAACATGTGATTTGATGTTGCTTCCATGCATTAGGGTGGGTGTCAAGGTCACCTGAAGGTCAGGTCAGGTCATTGACCTTTGGTGACCTCGGGTGACCTCGGTTCACTTTTTCGAGCTGTACATGTTTCTAGGCTTTTTTTGGAGCTGAATTCGAATTTAGCAACCATTTGAACATTTACGAAGTAGTTTTGGTGCCTTCGTAACATGTTACGAAGCTGTCAGAGGCGGTTGACACGTACTACGAATACCCGTCACGACGCCTACTGGTTGACCTGACCTGACCTGACCCGACCTGGTCTAAATGCTTAAAGACATCATCTGTGATCAAAACTAACACGATATTCGTGATCAGCACCCCGAAAAACCCCTTAGCAGCCACACTTTACGACTTTCTATTTTTCTAACAGGTCCCGATTTTCCCGACTTTGGGTCATTGACCTGACCTGGAAGGTCAACCAACTGAATCAATGACTAGCAATGGAATGGGTAGCAGCTTCTGATTTGTGCAATAGCTTCCAAAATTTGTGTATCATGGCATACAGGTATCTAGAATACAATGAAAACTAATAATTTCATTGTATTATATACCCTTTATAAATTTCGTCCAAATCTGACCTCCAAAGATTTCAAGCATGATCGATAAATGTTCGGAAATAACCGCTAACAGCCGCCACATGTCTGGCAGTGCATTTCGGTTCGATTAGTTGCTGTCCAATGCAGTATGTGATCGCTGGTAAATGGTCGGCGGCCACCGGAAGACCTGCTGGCAACAGGACCGTCAACTGCAGCCACGGTCGCCAGAGGGGATGCATGTCGGTGGCGGAGTCATTTCATAAATCAGGGTTTGGCCCGAATAGTTTGTGCCATGTGACTTGTCGAGGAAATACATACAGTTCCTTGCGAAAACAGCGACTGATTGGATCTCTCGATCTTATCCAAAGGAGACTAATATACTTTTTCTGACACGGGACAAGGACTACCAGCATTGCCAGCGTTAAGTTAACTATCCTCATTCATGTAGGCATGGATGGACTCGATCACTCCAAAAGCATCGCAACTTCATGACTGGCCCTGATGTATGATAATTTGAACATCACTGATCGACGAATAGCGAAGGACTCAGTTATTACTTACCTACTATCACAAGTAACTGAAAACCATCCATTAACCACATATTCATCACCTGAGTTATGACTTGAACAATAAAGAAAACTATTAAAAACTATATTAAAAGAAAACGTCGAGTTTCGACGCTGCTCGCGTACACGGCAGGGAGCTGGAACATTACACATGCTACCCACCTGCCTATCTGCACAGGCTCTCCAGCATCGCCGTAATGAAATAGTTCCCTCAGGCATGCACATTGTTAGAGCCATCAGTCAGGCGGAAACACTGTCGGCCACCTCGAGAGGTCAAGGTGACCCGGCCGCGGTACAAGTTCCGAGTTCCGACACCTCAACAAGTGGACGCCCTCCGACGCCCTCCGGCCACAGAACAGTGAGCAGCAACGCGTGACGACGAGATGTTATAGTTGATATAAAGTTGGGAGTGAGAGGTGGGAGATAAAATGCTGGGTAGGAGTAAAACTATAAGGCGAGGAAGGGGGGTCACACTGAAGCGCAATGAACAATTCCTACCAGCTATATCTTGAGCGAGAGAGAGAGAGAGAGAGAGAGAGAGAGAGAGAGAGAGAGAGAGAGAGAGAGAGAGAGAGAGAGAGAGAGAGAGAGAGAGAGAGAGAGAAGAGAGAAGAGAGAAGAGAGAAGAGAGAAGAGAGAAGAGAGAAGAGAGAAGAGAGAAGAGAGAAGAGAGAAGAGAGAAGAGAGAAGAGAGAAGAGAGAAGAGAAGAGAGAAGAGAGAAAAGAGAAAAGAGAAAAGAAAAAAGAGAAGAGAGAAGAGAGAAGAGAGAAGAGAGAAGAGAGAAGAGAGAAGAGAGAAGAGAGAAGAGAGAAGAGAGAGAGAAGAGAGAGAGAATGAGAGAGAGAGAGAGAGAGAGAGAGAGAAAGAGAGAGAGAGAGAGAGAGAGAGGAGAGCGGAGGGCTGATGGGATAAACCTAAGGCAAAACTGGCTCGAAAGAGGGAATGATGTTTTGCAGTTACGCTTCCTGCTCTGTCATTAGGTATGTATAGTCGACTACAGAATGATGTTCCACTTTTCACAGGCAATTATTTGCCTGGAGTGGTAGGCTGTGCCGCATCACACGGGCTGAGTTCACAAACTATAGCTTTGTCCCAATGCTCACAATCGACACGCTTAATTGCGTGATAAACGGCACAACTTAGCGCTCCGGTCAACTGATAGTTTCTGAGGAGTGGAACATCATTCTGTAGTCGACTATATATACAGACCTGCAGCTAAACGAACACATGAACTCAACGGCAGAGTAAAAGGCAGAGTAAAGGGAGGACTGATACGGACGGAGAGAAGCAGTGAGCCGCTGCCGCACGGTCACGGACCACGCGACCGATCGCTTACTTTCACTTTCGTCGCCGACTGTGAGGCAGGCAGCCGGGCATGAGACCCGAACCGTGCACTGCCCCATCGACTTCAACCTCCGCTCACGCGAAAACCGTTCGTCGCTTTTTGTGCCACACTTTCAAACAGTGGGAATACATAAAGACTGAGGGCGTGTCAGTTTCACGGTGGCCAACAGAACTGAATCGACTCGCTTATCCGACAGACTGCATGCAATTCGTTTCGGTGTAGTGAATGAGATCATGTCCGACGGGCATCGATTTTGGGGAGGCAGCAGCCATGAAGCGGCCCGACCGGATGCGCCGAACACAGCGCTTCAGAGGTGGAACGAAACGGCTCGCCAGACCACTCATCCATTGCTAATCTCCATCCCTACCCCCGGTCTAGACATGAAACACACCGACCTCACCAGATCAAAGCTACCAGACCAGATCGAAGTTATAGACACCTCTCACTCTCAGTGACCCACCCGTTCCAGCTGATCGTACAGCACCAGGCCGGGGTCGGCTAGATGCCGTGAGGTCAGGTGTACTGGAGTAACGGGTCGCCGGAGCCGGGCTTTGGGTCAGGGACGCCAGCGTAAATGAAAGCAGCCGACCTGACAGGCAAGCAGTTACAAACGGGGCCGTAAGACGGCCAGCTGTCTACCGCACAAAAAGTGCGGTGGGAGAAGCATGGCGACTCTTCCATTGCCATGAATGTGTCAAGACCACAAGATCAATGTTTACTTGTAAATCGTTCCGTTTCTCCCAAAATTTCACAATAAATTCAGGACATTCCGACATTCTGCTTAGTGCTTACATTTAGCCGAAAATCGGCACATCTCATTGACTGAAAAGTGAAAACATATAAGAAAGCCCTTAACCCTCGCCCGCACATGGGGGGTGGTTGCCCCCCCCCCCCCCAAGGTAGTCTTTCTGCTCTGCACTCAACATTTTTAGAGCTAGAAGCCTGATTTTTCGTATAGCTGCTTCTCTATCCTTTCTTGATGTTCACTGAAAATTTCAAGTTTCTGTGGTTTTTGATTTCGGAGATATGACCTTATTTTTCAGGTCATGTCATGACCCAAATGATCAATTCTCAACATCTTGCGTTGGCTATGGGCCTTGTGAGCTTTTGACACCTTAATTTCGGCCTTTTTTGTCAGTCTCACCCCCACCTATCATGGAACATGTTGTTCGACGATGTACAGATGTCAAGGTCAGGGTCAAGGTCAGACTAGGTCATCTAAAATAATCGCGTTTTAGGCAAGCTGAACATACTTTTCGTGAAGTTTTTTTACTGCATTTTTGGTAAAAGCTTCTCAGATCATGATTTCATGTAATATGGACACATAAACAATCGGTGCACATATCAGTATACACACAGACACACACAGACATACAAACACATATCATTGACCTTGACCTAACTTGACCTGAAATGACCTCAGCAGCA